GGGCGAGGCATGCACATCGATTCCAAACATAGAGGAAATCGATAGATGCTGCCTGATTATCTAATTCATATGTTCAAAACAGCCTATATGAAGGAGGACATTTAACTCTGACCGTCACACGTACCTACATACCTACGTATCACATGTACATGAAATAATACGTTATTTTTGCGGATCACATTTGTCAGTTACTTGATTGAAGTGGTTTCCAAAGAAAACGGTAACATCAGCACTGAGCTTCGTTTATGAAAATTCGTTGAAAGTTTGCATTTAAGACATTTACTACTTCTTTTACATCAGTAGCGTTTTGAGTTTTCTCGCAATAAATGTGAAGTATGCCAAAGATATAAGATGTATATATATAAACTCTCTCGAAATAAGCACCATTGGATGGTGGACTTGCAACGATATTTATGATGGTAATCTGGCAATGACCATAAGAGTGTTCCTCTTCCATTGCACATATCATGCCACAATCTCCTCTCTCCAATTTATTTTCTAGGGTCGTTGTTGGAAACAAAAATAAATAATGCTTAATTTATTATTGTCCAGAATATTCATAGATCTCGGTAATATATTAGGGATTTTGTAGTGTGTGTAAATAGACTATACACCCGTTTGTTTTATTAAACGTGATATCCTTGTGCATTCCTACTTTCCGGTTATTCAAATACGATTTTGTTGTTGAGTGCTGCGTTCGGATTTCATTCCGAGTTCGGGTGTTGAGTTGGATTATTACTGCGCGGAGTGTGATACGTATACCTCGCGGTCGTTTTGAATGAATGGATGCTTGTAATTAAGAGAACCCGGGACATGCATGAAGATTACCTCGAACGATTAAAGATTTGGTGTATTAAATGGAAAGGATTTAGTGGGACATGCAAAACTGCTAATTTCCTAAAGGCCATCGAAAAAGGATACATATTCTCTGTTGAACAAAGTGACGTTTACGGACACTCCTCCATCAATATCGTACGAATCCTTGAAACATCCACAGTCAGTCAATTTCAACGTCGAATTTCACCTGTGCTTCAAGCTAACTCATATGTGACTTTATTCTGCAGCTTCAAACTCGAGCACCGTGATGCGATTTTAAAGATCAACTACAAATTCAGCTACGAGATTGATTAATTGCCCTTATGTCCAGCAAAAGCTCTTACTCCTGCAGGATTGCACATTCTAGCCGGTCAAGGCAGCTTTGAACAGTACCAAGACGTTTATACCACTGACTGTGATAAACCTAATGTGTTGCTCAGTACTAGAAATTCCGAACAGTTCCCACTCCGGACGAAAACGGCTTTCTTAAAAACAATTCGAAAACACTAAACATCACCAATTCTGCAGTCCGCGGTTACCAATGGATCCAACTTTGGAATGAGTGAAACTCTTGTGGTCAAATACACTCTCGGTGCATCTCTAGATTCCGCAATGCCAAGTATCACAAGAAAGTAGAGCTTGGCCAAATTCAGTATGTTTGTAAAAGTGCAAAAGCATGTCTTACAGGATGTACTCCTTCGCATTCTTGAGAGTTCGCATCTGATTTACAGTCCCCAAATCTACCTGGTACAAGTTCTCATCCTCCTCACTTGATTAGTGACGACTCTATTTGCAACACATTTACCATGGACACTGGTCGTATTGATTCTTTTAGTTTGAACAAGACGTTTTATCGTTCATCGTCTCCGCTCGATTAACTTTCTTCCACAGATGTTTCCAATAAAGGCATCACTCGTCATTCATTACCCGTTTTACGCTCATGTGAACTGCTTCCTAATGACAATCGATCAGGAACAATTCACCGTCCGTTTTGGGTAACGAATTCCCACATTTCTATTATTGGTTTGAATTGTATGATCCGTGTGTATTTATCATTTTAATTTCTGTGTGACTGGCATCACATCTGAAATGTTGCCAGGAAAAGGGCGGTATCCCCTGTAAGTATAGTAGCAACCGATTCTTCGATATTCATGAAACGTCGAATTATCTCGTTTGGAATACGTGAACCCGTAAAACAGATATTAGACGAAATGGTCAACAAGGGAGTTCTGACACCAGTCAGTTGTTCGGCTTGGGTCAAGTGAAATGTTACTCCCCGAAAACGTGATGGGAAGACTCACGGAATATATATAAGGATTATGGAGTTACTGCGAACAGACAGTTGAAACAGTCTACTTGTACCACTGTCAAAGCAGATGTTTTACAGCAGCTTCGTGCGTTCAATTGTTTTCTAATGTGGACTTAAAAGATGGATACCCTCCGATTCCTCTTGATGAAAAATCGTACTAACTTAGTACTATTACCACACCTGGTCTATTTCGCTACAAAGTTCTACCGTTTGAAATCAGTGTTCCCCAACATTTATTCATACTATCACCAAGGCCACCAGTTCTGGTTCACAAAGGGCATATGAAAAAAATTATTCTTTGTGCTCTTATCAGACGTCTATACGCTGATCGCTTGTTAGTTTTGCTTGGAAACGTTCGTTCCTATAATATTACTATTAACCCTTAACTTTTGCACCAACTAAACCTTCTTGTTTAAGTTACTTCGTTGATGAATCTGGATTCCTTCCTAACCCCGATCGATTTATTCATTAACCAAAGCTTCATCTACCAAGTCATTCGATAAACTTCGTTCTTTAACTGATTCATTAAAATACTACTCCAAATGTATTCCGAATTTTTCAACTCAATCTGCCCCGTTTTGTGATTTGTAATCGCAGCAAATATTTGAGTGTAATTTGGTTCTTCAACATGCTTTGGGGGAGTTAGTTTCCTTTTTATCTACCAGTGATTTACTACTTGCCTTTCCCACACGATTAATGTCCACAGTCATCACGAAGGCATCGCTCCTTGAATTTGGAACTGTGTTGAAGCAGAACGGTCATCCGGTGCTGTACATCTCACGCAGGCTCACGATGGCCGAACCGGGTTAGTCGTAAACTGAACGTGAGACTCTAGCTGTCTATTGGGCTGTCACGCGTATGCCTAAGTATCCTTTTGGTGATCAATTTATCATTTTGAGTTATCATGAAGCCTGGCATTTCATTTGCAAACCCCAACATTTCCTTGTAAAGACATCTTGAGACATCTTGAGATGTCTGCTTAGTCCTATGAAATTCATCATCAGGGGTTGCCATAATCCATTCCACATGCAGATTATCTGTCACGCTATGCCATTTCCGAATACGCTTTTGCGAGGGATTGTCTACCGACGCAACCGCTTCCGGTAGACCAGTCTGATTTAGTTCGCGAGACCGGGAAGTATTAACGCGCTATAATCTCCAGTGTACGTCAAGGTTGGCAAAGTGATATTCAGTGTCGATTTCCGGAATTCTAAAAACATGGAGGGGAAATTTCTACGACGGTTACAATGATCCATTATCGTAGCTTCGACACTATGTACTACTTACTTTTACTTAATTTTGAGCGACTACATTCTGCGGGAGGATAAGTCGGCTTCTTCGAAATATCTGATGGTGCCAGTCCATGCATGATGATCGGCATCAAGGTTGACACAGTGTGAAAACCAGTTCTGGTTCCAGTTACCAATTCCATATACGGATTGGAGGCCCAGTAATTCCAAGTCCGTCTTCATCGTACTGGCCCAGGTCTTCAGTTGACCACCGAGTCGGCAACGCCATCCACGGCATAGTATGGGGCTACAGCCTATCGCGAGAGTTGAGTGTCAGGCTTTCAGAGCACATGGCCAAACCAATGAAAGCGCCGGCGTTGTAGCATTTTCGAAAACCTGTCGATGTTCCAGCATCACCGTTGAACCTCGTCATTGTAAATCCGATCTCTCCAATTTATTTTTGACGTGCGGCAAAAGAGTTTGAGCTTCCTTGTATCTTGTATTCTTGGCGGCCAGGTTTCACAACCGTAAGTGAGGGTGGGGCGGATGGAAGCCTGGCAAATCCAAAGCTTAGTGCTTATTCTTATTTCGCATCGATTTCACAACCGCCTGATGAGTTGCATGAAGGCTCTTCTAACTCCATCTACAGGGAGTTGGATTTAATCCTTAGCCTGACCGTTTGGTCTAATTGTAGAGCCAAGATACTAAAAACTTCGATTGATTCGACTAGTACCCGGTTAATCAAGATGGGTTCCGCCGTGGCAAACGTTTCGGTCAAAAATGTTTTGGTTTTTGACTTGTTGATCTCTAACACATCGGCTTTATTAAGCTGATTTCTACGACTAACAACAGGTTGAAGGTTGTCCACGGTGTCACAAAGTAAAACGAAATCATCTGAAAATTCCTGGTTGAGCAGCCCGTCGAAGTGTTAGACCCTCCTTTACGCTTCTTGTTCAGTCCCCTGTATAAGTCAGCCCGTGGTGCTGCTCAACAGTGGTTCCGATGTCTGTCCCTTTCCTGCTGCGATACGGATTAGACGGAACAGCTTTCAAAGACCCGCTGCGACCGTTGCAGCCTCCATACTGTCTGCAGTCGCCTTCAAGTATTATTCACAGTCCCCCTTGGTCAACCATTTGGCTCGACGAGGTAGAATACGGAATTCAAGAGAATCGATCAGCCGTGCATCTCTTGTCTTTTCGGACAACTGCAGTGTATGCTCGGAGATCCAGTCTCTTTTGTGGCGAAGGGTCTTACGTAACTGCCTCGATGTCGCTTCAGCATGGACCACTGTGCGTCGACAGTTGACTCATTAAAGGCATTTGCGGCTATGTTGGAAGCGGTTACATTTAGCACCGCCTGCCTTCTCTCTGATAGTTCCCAGAGCGCGAAGTCGAACTTGACAAGGAGATGAGTCTCCAGGAAGACAGGCAGGCGAATCTTGAACCGGGGGCGTATAAGGTTATGGTCCGTGCCGTTCCTATTACCAGTTTCTGCGCCGCGTTAGGAACGGCAGTCTTGCACCAAGCATGTAACAAAAAAATAATCAGTCAGATGTGTCGTTTGACCGCCATTTGAGTACCATGTGAGTATTTGTTTTCTGGGGTGCTGAAAACGGAGGTTCGCACAACCAGCAGATTAGGGTTAGCCTATGTGACTAGGCGTTCTATATTTTTGTAACGTTGACCAAGGCCAAACTTTCCCAGAACATGTCGAGTATGCTCGTCTGATGGACCAGTACGTGCATTCCAGTCTCCTTCTGTAAGAAGAATGTCGTGTCTCGGAATGCGGTTCACTACCTCTTGAACTTGATTGTAGTTGTCGTCTTTACTGGGCTTTTCCGCATGTAACATTGGAGCAAATATAGCGATGACAGTCAGGTTTAACGGTCTACCTCTAAAGCGCGCTATGGTAATCCTGGGATAAGTTGAATTCCAGGAGATTCTGACATTGTTGGCCCGGCCGCCCACGGTGATTGCTACCCCGTGCAAATGAGAATTGTCAGGTTGCGTCGCTATGTAGTACGTTGTGCTAAAGTTAGATAGTCTGCTTTCGGACAGGCAACAAATGTCTACTTTGCTCATTCGTCACCTCAGGCCATGGGTGAGCGCAGGGAGCGTCTCTTCCTGGGAAAACGCCATATCATGAACGCGATGTATCATTGTAAGACGATTCATGGAGGAACTTGGTAATAAGGTTATAGGTGACGTCCACAGCGTTGCTCGGTTTTTGTTTGAGGGTGCACTTCTTGCACCCTTGCACAAACAAGTGCGACATGTAGGGTAACAGAGTAGAACGGTTGGTAGCCAGTGACCGTCAGAACGGTTCAGACGCCTTTCGGATAGCTCAGCGCCAGTCCAGGATCCCAACTTGTCCGTGAGGTATGAGTGTCCGCAGAAATCCTCAAAGTTTACCTTAACCGGAAGAGTAGGCAAGTAGCAATTGCCTTATTTGGTGGCGGACCGCATTCGCACACGTCACGATGTAGTAAGCAGACACTAATGGCTTTTGAAAGGAATATCGGTTGCTAACCGGAAACCCACCACATCCTCTAGCATCGTCGCTGATCGTCCGGTTATTTCGTGAGGCAGCCGCCACCACTGAGGTGGTCATTCTCCTATCCGCGACCTGGATAACGAGCTCGGTAGCATTCGGCTGTGCTATGCGTAGACAACCCATTGACTGTGAGCCAAATGACTTACATTCCGGATATCTTAACATTGAAAGATTGAAATCTCTTGCTCGTCTTACATGTTGGTGACCCGAATTGAATCATGACATGAATCGTATTGCTAAATTATGTATTCAGTGTGTACACAAGGCTCATAGACAACCTTTGAAATGGACCCCATTGGTCAGTATTTTCTGAGCCATAGTAACGAATACATATGTATTAAGGTGATCTGTTCTTCAACAAGTATGACGCATTGGTGGTCGTCGATTTCTATTCACGTTGACTAGAAGTTTAATTTACCAACATCAAAAAAATAAAGATATAATCGGTAAAACCCTCAGGACAACTTAGCGCGCAGAATGAAGAGTAAAACTGTTTCTAATCCTAGTGTGAATTACGACAGGTTTTCCTACTGTTCAAGTTATTGAATACCTACAAAATAACATGGAATGCCGAAAAACAATTTCTAAGCAATTTGAAAAGAGCGTAAATTTTTCATTGTCTTGGCTCATCAAATAACGGGAAAAAGTTGCAGAGTTTGATGAACTTGAATATTCGCATTCAACTCACAATTACTTGTTAGTAGTGGCATCAGATCAATCATATCGATTTGAACTGAACATACTTTGCAATTCACCATCACGTACAATCCACAACCCTTCCAGTCAACCACCATTCACTCGGGGAAGCACTGCATTTAAGTTTTGTTCTTATTGGAGCTCATCAGTAGTGCATATCCAAGCTTTGAACTCCGGACCCATCGGACGGAAGGCGTGTGTATTACCACTGTGCCAACCAACTTATTCCACTGCTGAGTAGAACTGTTAGTTCACGCTTGTTTCGATGTTGTCCTCAGCGATAGTCAGTTGGCATAGTGATATATTTACCGCGATATTTATCAACAGGCTGAGATCACCATTTGTGTCTTCGCAATTCAGTCTAACCTTGTCCAAATGGCAAAATCATCCCAATGTTAGCAAACGAATAGAAAACGATAACTTGGGACTTCAATAAAATAGGTAAAACATGGTTTCGCATTTAGCTCAAAGTTACTTGTGAGTAGTGGTGTGAGATAATTGATATTTATTGATTTAAACTGACTATCCTTCGGCATTCAATTCGGTTCGACCATGGTTTGAGCTGGTTGGCACACGCTTTCCAAGCCATGGGTCCGGAGTTCAACTATCGGACGGGACGGTGGATATGCACTACTGATGAGCTGTACTAAGAACGAAACTGGAGTCTAGTGTTTCCGAGTGTGTGGTTGAATCGATGAACAGAGGATTATGTGTGTTTACATTAACACACAGAACAAGAATCAAATATATGCTCATCAATTCAAATTACCTATGGGGTTAAGGGAGGGGATGCACGGGAACACCTTCGTTTTTTGCAATCTGCGGATTTCAAAAGAAAAGACTACATAACAATACTGCACGAATTATTTTCAGGACGACTCAGGTGTATCTCAACATGATGATTAATACAGAAAACAATATTTATATAGAGATTTAGCATGGCAACAAAGAAAAGTAAAATACAACGAAACAGACAAACACAAAAGAGAAGGGGTCAAAGGACTATGTCACCAGGAGAAGGATAAACTAACATAAAGTTCTTTTTGTTGATACAATCGGCTGAAAGCAATCGATTCTGCAAACCTTAGAAGTCTTACAATTCGTGATTTGTAGATAATCCGAAACGCAGTGCTTCGGTCCATCTGCCGTTGCGTCATTAGAAGATGTCAAGCTATGGCTGAAAAAAGGAGTCTTGTAATTTCGACCGTTGTTTTTATGCCGCGGACTTGATCCCGATTACGTCAGTTGACTTCGGACCCAATTTGGAATATGTTTGACCACCCGGTTGCGTAATTGTCTCACTGTTTTGCCCACGTAGGTCACTAAACGCCCACATTGGAATCGGTAGATCAGATTCGAGTTGGTGTAGAGAGGCAGACGTTCTTCTACCGGGTATTCGGGTATTCTGGTTGTCCGATAGACAACTGGTGGATCAGCTGCATAGTAGGTTGATCAAACAGCTTACGTCATCAACTTTGAATTAGAGGCACAAATTGACTCGTAATCTTGAAACTGACGCAATCGTTAATTTTACAATTGTTGGTTTGCTATGTTTATTAATAAACGCTTCGGGGTCACGTATTCTGCTAATATCTCCCGAAGGGTTTTTAGTTCTTGTTCAGTTTTATCTTCCGTGTAGATCCGCCTCGTTCTGTCGGATCGCGTCCAAACAAAACCACGTCTATACTCCCGGGCGCACCAACGGATTGGGTGATCAGTCCATTTTCTCTCCGGCTCATGCTGATGTCAAGAAAATTGTGTTGTTGGCTTCGGATTCCATTGTGAAGCAGCTATTTGGATACAATCTATTAAGTTCATCCAAAATTACTGTAGCGTCTTCTACGTTTTCTGTTATTGTAAGGGTGTCTTCGACGTATCGTTTGTGAAGGATGGCAACTTCTAGAATGATATTTGCCCTGTGTTCGTGATGTGCCATAAACAATCTGTGGATTGAGAAGGTGTGGTCTGCTTTTTCTTCCTTGTTCTGATGTGCAATTAGCACACTGTTCTATTCATTCGTTACTTAACAATGGAATAAGCAAGCAAAATAAAACCATCACCCGTGTTTGTGACAAAAACTTATGTTGATAAACAGATCACATCGTCACCCCAAAATGTTCGTATTGCTATTGTCAATGAGCTGAATAAATCTCGGACTATTTTCTGCCCAACCCGTCAAATGTAGCTATGCCACTGTGATGCTGTTCTTAGCATCCGTGTTTATGTTGTCCCACCCTTCGGTTCTTGATGTCACATTCGTGAAGCCTATCGTTCAGTGTCGTTCGTCCCTTCAACCGTGTCAATTTGATACCTTGACGAATTGTCTGGATTTGGATGTCGTCGTCAATATAATCAAAATTATTGTACATTTCAGGAGTATGTGATAGAATACTTACTGACTGACAATTGAAAATAATATGGAATGATTGCAGCTCGGGATGCGGATTTTGAAGTGTTCTCAGAGCATATAGTGTTGCTCGTGAAAGCACTTCCAGCTCGAAAAACACATCAACACTAAGACCGACTGACTGCGCACTNCACACACACACACACACACACACACACACAAATACACACACTTACACATCCTCAAAGCCTAGAAACAGTGCACGACTTCCATTTCAGTTGTTCGCCGAGCTTGGCAACTTGTTTGAAACCGTTTCATTACCAGCCGAGATGACATCAGTAGTGCTTGTGAAGTGGCAGTGTTCTGCTTGTATCCGTTCGTTTGGATATGTGGTCTTCTCCACCGACCATTTTCATCCCTTGTTCTTACTGTGTTCGACTCGGTTCACCGTTAAACTGGTGCCAGTGGGTGAGGATGGGAGGAGAGGGGGTTGTCCTTTCGTTCTGGTTGCTGTTTTGTTCCGTTCTCAGGTCACGGCATGACTTGTTTTGTTGCGTCATTTGATCCTTGAGTTTCATCGGCGTGCACACGTGATCCAGTTGAGGAGTGGATGCCAAACCTCGGAAAAACTAGAAGGAAATTATCAAAAAGGATCCGTGAACACCAATAGGAATTCAGGAGACATGACCCACTATGGTTGATT